CCAGATAGCTCAGTAGACTAAAGTGCCCTTATAGGCAGGCACAGGGACTGGGGTTTGATCCCTGGTGTACTGTACTGGCCTTGCCCCTGGGGCATGCTGAGATGGTGACTGGGACTGGATGTGGTGGCATGTGTCTGTAATCCCAGTGCTTGTAAGGCTGAAAACAGGAGGATCACTACGAGTCCAATTTGTGTAGTGAGACCCTGTAGACCCTGTACTAAATAAATAAAAAAACATTGTCTGGAGTAAGCTTGCAGACAGCATAGTAACCTTAAGATGAATTTTTTTTTTTTTTATGTGGAACCGGGGATTGAACTCAGGCCCTTGCGCTTGCCAGGCAAGAGCTTATTCTACTGAGCCATCTCCCCAGCCCCTTTAAGATGAATTTTTAAAAATCACTGAAGAAGTAAATAAGCCATACTCCCTCATAGGACTGAAAGTGACTTTTTGACCAGAAGAGCAGTGTTGGTTTGTATTTTGTTTTGGTAGTTCCTTTTGGAACCTTCAGGTTTTCTGTTTTCTTGTTAAAGAATCCCTAGGTTTCTGGCCTTGGCTGTGAGCCAGGGAGATGTGGGTCAGGTGCCCTTGAGGGAGGCTCAGGACTTGCACTATTTGGTTCTAGGTTGAGTTCTCTGTGATACAAAGAAGCCATGAACTCATGCGTATTCTCCAGAGGGAAAGACTGAGCAAATCAGAGCTCTGAGCAGCGTGTGAGCTCAAGTGGGCACCGTGGTGCAGCCAAAGTGGCCCAGTTCTTCCCTCTTCTGGGCAGTGGGGCAGGCAACTTGGGGGAGCTCTGCTTCTTCTGTCAGGCTTTTGGCATGTGGCTGAGACAAGCTCCTTGGGCTTGGCGAGGGCTCATGAACAGATGGCGAGGTGAATTCCTGATGGTTGGGTCAGGAGGAGAGGGCTGTAGCCAGTGCCAACCCATGTGTGTCTTTGTTTTCAGAGACCGCCTGCAGCAGGGGATGCAGCACAGGACCCAGGTAAGGAGCGCTGCACCATGGCCTTTGAGGATGGTGCACCTGTGCTGCCTGTCAGTGGATGGGCCATCTCAAGGCCACCAGTCCCTTCTGTGTATTTCCTCTGCTCGTAAGATTAGGGAGTGGGGTCTAAGAGATCCTTGGGCTCAGCACTGTGCACAAACTGTCAAGCTCATGCCTTCTAGATCCCTGCATGCAGACCGACCTCACCTCAGTGCCGTGACACTGCTCAGGTGGGTTCCTGGGCTCTGGTGACTGCAGGAGGCCCTGTTGCAGGTTGTAGTGGCATCCCCAAGAGGACTTGGTTCCTCATGGAAGCCTAAGTTTGGGAAATCCCTTTGTCAGTGGAAGCATTTTTTTTCTAGCTTATTACTTTTTTTTAAACTAGCACTAAACTGAATGTCCCTTCTCTGCAGCTGGGATAGCACTGTCTGCAGAGGCCCCTTCTCTGCTGTCATAGTATTTGAGCTGCAGTGGTGGCTTGGGTCAGGGCTGAAGGCTGCCTTCCTGCATGCTCTCTGGCTGGTGTGTGGGTAGGGTGCGACACCACGGGAGCAGTTTCTGTTTTCCCCATCCCAGGGAGAGCTCTGCCCATGATGCTTTGCTGTTCTAGGAGCAGTATTCCCGCCAAATGTCCAGATCACCCCTGTCTTCCTAACCGAAGAGGAAGTTGCCAGTCTCCATGAGTTCCCAGTGGAGCAGATGCCCAGGTAGCTCAGAGATCACCTGGGACCTCCTCTAACTGCATGTGCAAAGCTGCTTACTTAGCCACTGAAAGCCCCAGTGCTTCCTGTCCCTCCTCACCGCCGTCCCCTGCCTGTTTTGTGCTATAGACAGGCACTTACAGCTTGAGGGTGTTGATCTGGGAGTAGGCTCCAAATCCTTTATCTGCTCTATGATCCTGGCCCAGTGTGTTCCCCAGCACAGTGTCCCCTTCACAGGTTCATTGTGACAGTGCCTCACAGGGCCCCCTCCAGACGTGGATGACTATACTTAGGGACTCCATTTTCAGGAGGAGATTCTGGTCTCGTACTGGGAACCCCAAGTGTCAGCTGCTACCTTCCTTTTACTCCTGCGGTTTGGCCACGATAGCATCTTAGGCTCTGTGGTCTCAGGCACCCATGTGTCACCGACCCTGTGCCAGTTAGGGAATTGGTGCTTTCATCTCCCCCGCGGAGCTGCTCAGGCAGTGCGTCCCCTCCTCACATGTGTCTCCCCCGTGGAGCTGCTCAGGCAGTGTACCCTTTCCTCACATGTGTCTCATTCACCAGGCCAGCCAGGCTCCAGGACAGCATGGCCCAGCATCTTGCAAAGGATGGGAGCACATCTGCCCCCCAAAATGATGCCACCGGGCAAGTGGCATCTGTGGCTCCGATGTCAGCTACTACCCAGGAGCCCATGTCCCCTGACAGAATGTGGCCAAAGGGCAAAGGAGAGAATGGGCATTTGCCTGGCCATGAGATGAAGGACTGGGGGTCCAGGGCATTGCACACAACTGCCAGGGTCCAGGTCCCTGGCCGCAGCTGCTCCCTGTATAAGGAACCAGGCTTTCTACAGGAGGAGGTGGACTTGTCCGGAATCCACATTCCAGAAGCTGAGGAAATGGGACCATCTTCGGGTCATTGTGCCTTCCCACACATGCGTGCCCCACGTGGCAGAGGTCTGTCCCATGAGGACTCCGTCAGTGATGCCAGCACCCTAGAACCTGTGCCACCTGAGGATGTGGCCACCAGCAGCCACCTGTCCTCCTCACCTGACATCCTCACCCCGAATGGAATCCAAACGAAGCTTGAAGACCTTCGTGGTACCAGCAGCCACACCCTTGTTTCTGGAACAGACACCCTTGCCAGACAGACCAGCTGGCCATTGTCCCCTCACCCAGATCCAAATCCAGAACAGAGGGAAAGTGAGCTTCCTGGCAGGGACCAGGGTGTAGATCAGCAAGTGGATGGAGTCCGTGAGAGCCTTGCAGCCACTGGTCTGGAATGCATTTCTGAATCCGCAGACTCCCAGGGTGACGGCCCCTCTGCAGACAGAGTTCACTGCAGGTTGGCCCCAGTCGAGGTCCCCATGAGACTCGTGCAGATGAACCTCTACACCCACAGTGTTAAAGGGTTGGTGCTGTCTCTGCTGGCCGAGGCACCACTGCTGAGAGACAGTGCAGCTGTCGAGGAAGTGGTGAGTTTCCCCACATCCGTTCCTGGGGCTCCTCTGGTGGCCTGCTAGAAATATAGATGGGCTGACTCAGTCTCCTGCTCTGTGTCCCAGGACAGACCCTCCCCGTTTATGCTGCGGGGGTGACGGCAATGCCAGCCTCCTTGATGTTTGGGGGGTGGGGGAGTCCATGCATGTGGTGCAGCACTGGTACAAAGGCATCTGGGTATTGGTTCTCTGCCCCTTCTGCTTCCTCCAGTTTCTTGGGTGCTTGGAGTTCTGACTGTGTTGTTCTCCATCCACACATGAGCTCTTGCCCTCTGAATTACTGCTTCCTTACTAGTAGCATGAGGTGGTTCTCAGGCAGGTGCTGTATGTGCAGCCATTGCATTGCTCCTGCTCTGGCCTCATTTTCTAGCCTGTGCAGCTCTAGGTTCCCTGATGACTGGAATCTGTACCCTGTAGCAGTCAGCCTGGGTGGGAGTTCCTGGAATCACGGCCTTTCCCTCTGTAGCCCCCAGCCTTGCCCCAGCATTGCTGGTGACCCAGCGTACCTTCCCAGAAGGTCTGAAATCCCAACTAGCTCTAGTGGTTCTTCTTGAACCACTTGAGCCCCTTTCCCGTCTTATAGCAGTGATCTGACCTTCTGTAGGGTCCAGGCCCATGCTGGAGATTTGGTTGCTATGGTAACAGCCTTGCTTTAGTTGGCAAGGAAAGTGGTAGCAGGAAGAACAGCAGGTTGAAATTGCTGCAGGGCAAATGGCGTCCTGGGGCTCGCCTTGTTTTTTCTCTTGAATCTATATTATTCTAAGCTGATCCTATTAGCATGCAGGTCTTGTGACCCTCCATAAATGAGCAAGTCACCTTGGAGCACAGAGGAGGAGGGAAAGCTGCGGAGCTGCTCCCGTTGCACAGAGCTGCTAGCAGGGGACTGCTCTTCTGCAGAACATGGGCTTATCAGTCCCCTTTCCACAGACCCCAGAGTACCAAGTTATCGCTTGTTTGCTTCCTCTGTCCTCATTCTCCATAGCTGTCACTTCACCATGTCTTTTAAAACAGCAAAGGTAGATAGGGCTGCAGCTGCCCCATCTCGTCTTATCGCTTCAGTTTTCCCAATCCATTCTCCACTGTGCAGAGCCTTAGAAATATCATTTTGAAGGACCACTGAGGGGTGCAGTATGCAGACATAATACATTACTTTCTACCTTCTTCCCTAAAAGAAAAAAGTAGCACAGGCTGCTCTGAGATGGGATGTGTTCTGCATAGCTATGTGCTAAATGCTACTTTACATCTGTTACTTTAGCCAAGTCTTGAAACATTTCTGGGAGGAGACATTTATTGCAACTCCCACCTCACCAGCAAGAAAACTGGGCATGTTTAAGATAGATCTTAGACAAGTGGCAGGTCCAGAATTCTTGCTGGCTTCTGGTTCCCCTGCCTTAGGCTCTCTGACCCTCAGCTCATCTGCCCTTGCTGATAGGGAAGGCAAAGGCAGGGTGACTGCCCTGCCCTCTGTGGTTCTTGCTAGGTGGACATGGTTCATGGCTTGTGAAGGCCCATCTGTGCCCTTCTGTGCAGAGTAGGATTTGATACTGGCACAGCCCCAGGAAATAAAGTGCATCTGATGGAAGAGGAAAAGCTAGTCTTTTCTTAAAGTAAGGGAAACTAACTTGGGTCAGCCTGCTGGTTTGTGAGTTTGTTAAACCCAAAGCCTGTATTTGGAGAAGATTGTGTATTGCCTATCTGTCCCAGACCCACACAGAAAATGCTCAACCTGATCTCCCTGCAGCTGTGCAGAACACCAGCGTCCCTGCTGAGTGGTCAGCTACAGGCCAGATGGGACGGTTGGGGGATAGTCCCTTAGAAAGGGATCCTGGGTGTTACACACCAACATGTCATAGCATCCTTTTGCCAGCTTGTCTGTCAGTGGCAGGGCTGGACCTCTAGGTTTGCAAAGGGTGAGGTCAACCAGCGGGAAGGGTGGGAGGAGTGAGAGGGAAAGCAGCTGGTGGATGGGGTGGGTTCAGAGGACAGAGCGGGCTCCCAGCAGGGGGCAGCATAGAGCCATTGATGTAGCTTCCTGCCTGGAGCCCAAGATAAGCTCAGTGACCTTCAAATGCTGTGGTTAGATCAATTATTCATTGCCCAATGAGGAGATCACACTGTCATTAGACAAGTCCTGAAGCCAGGGTGAGAGTGTTTCATGAAATATTTTATGGAAGAGCTCTTCATGCTCCACAGCCTGTGCAACTGTGCTTCTCTGTGAGTGCATGTCCTGCTTACACTGCTGCTTCTGCGAGTCAGGATCCCCACAGGCCACCCAGCCCTCGCTGCCGTGTGCCCCGCAAGTCAGGGACCCAGGAATTAGCCCTGGCCCATGCCTCCCAGGGCTCTGTTGAGCATCACTATGTATCAGGTTGGTGAACTTTGTGTAAAGACCCCAAAGCAGCTAGTTTCAGCTCTGCACAGCTCTTCAGCTCTGCCACTGAAGTACAGAAACAGCCGTAGATGCTACGTAAATAGCTGGCGTGGCTGTGTGCCAGTAACACTTCATGAATATGGACGTTGGAGCTTCGGATAATTTCCACATGTCACAGTAATGTACATTTTCCCCCAGCCATATGCAAATATAAAGGCCATATAAAAAACATTCTTAGTTCTCAGGCAATACAGCAATAGGCATTGGGCTGGATGTAGCCGATAGGCCATAGTTTGGTGACTACTGGTACCAATGAAAGCACTTAGTTATCAGTAGTTATCCACATGTCACCTGACATAGCATCTTGTGGTTAACTGTATGTCTGTTGCTAAGTGATTTTATCTTGAGTACAAGTTAGGCAGAAGATTCTGAAAGCAGAGCTCAGTGCCGGCAAAGGAAACCAGGCTCACTGGCTTTGTGAGACGTGAGGCTGTGGTCTGCCCTCGTGGTGAATACATGTTGGTGCCTGTGAGGTGCACACACATCTGTCCATGTGGGGGGCTCCTCAATGTCAGTTATACTCAGCGTTGGGTAGGGCCTTCAGGTTATTTGACCATGGGAGATTGTGTCTGACTCCCCTGAACACACAGCTTTTTATATAACTGTGTACACACACACACACACACACACACACACACACACACACACACAGAGGAAACTTAATAGCTTGCCCCTGGTCATTTGACTAGGACGTTGCTGAGCTCACATATTTTTACCTGGGGGCTGCAGGACAGTGCTCAGGGTCAGTGGTCTTTGGCTTAAGGGACCCCAAGAGGCCCCGTAACTTATGTTCTCAGTCCAGCCCTAAGTACACCCTGAAGAGCACCACGTGCTTATAGAGGACAATACTCTAGAAGATTTACTGATCAGGAACGTAGCTCCTACTGTATCATTAGGTTAAAAAGCTAGTATCTGTATCACTATCTATGGTTTGATCCCATTTTTATTTCATGAAAACGAATTATAAGCATAGTTCAGCGTTACAACTGGATTTCCATACTACCCATCTATTGGGAGGTTTCAAACAAGGCAAACGGGGGGCCCTCATCTCCCTGGTAGCTGTCCTCAATCTCGCTGTGTAGACTCCTCCCTGAGCCAACACAGGTGGCCAGTGACCCTTGTGAGTCTCCTAGGGATGGCCCCAGTCTCAGTACAGTGGAGAGAAGCTTGGGCAACCACTGGCAGGGTTCCAGCCGGCAGTACTATGGATGCACTGCCCCTGGGAAGCTGCGGTTAGAGAGGGGTGTGCCGCAGCTGACTGTGGGGAGGTGATGGAAAATTTTTCCTTGCTTTCTTTTCCTTTAGTTTTCTGTCCAAGTCTCTTCTTTTCTGCAGGTATACCTTAATTTAGGAACATTACAACATAGAGTGTGAGTTGGTGCTTCTCTGAGAACAGGCAGAAACATTGGTCAGGGTCCATGTGGGCTGAATCAAGTAGACTTGAGACCTTCAGCAGAGTTTTCATTAAGCCTGTGGTCAGATGCAGGGTCCTGTGTGGGCTGTGAGGTCAGTCCTGCTGCCTGTGACCCTCTTTCTGTTCTCTGTAGTACCACAGCAGCCTGGCATCCCTCAACGGGTTGGAGGTGCACCTGAAGGAGACCCTGCTCAGAGATCAGGCCGGCCCTGCAAGCAGTACCTACAGCTTCGTGCACCATGACCATGTCCAGAATGTGCTCACAGGTAAGGAGCTGGCAGGGTGCAGAGCTGAGGATGCCTTGGGAGGTAGTGGTGGGACACTTGGCAGTGCACCACAGTACCTGACATCGGGGCGCTACCTTCCTGGGAATCCTCCCAGATACCCTGATAAGGCCTGCCTGGAATCTTAAAAGTCCCTGTGCAGGAACTGGCTATAGCTCCTGGGGGACAGGCAGAACTTGGTGGCATGGTGGCACCTGTGTCTGCTCTTCCCTCTTCCTCGGCATCCGCACTGTGAGCTATGAGCCTATCCACCAGGTCGTGTGGGAGTGGAGGGGCCACTACTTACCACCTGTATCCTCTTCCTGGAAGCCATCCTTCCCCCGGTGGCCTTGGCCCAGAACCGCCACTTCCTTCAGGCCGTCAGCCTCATGCACACAGACTTCGTCCAGCGGCCCACGCTCTATGAAATGACTGTCAGGTGAGCCTGTGAGCTGCGCACCCCAGGCGTGCTTCCCACTGCCTAGCTCAAGGGGACCCTCTCTGGGCAGGCGGCCAGTGCACGGTGCCCAGTGAAAAGCATTCTGGTTACTGTGTTCAGGGCCTTCCTCTGTCTGCTCTCATGCATTCACGTGCCGGGGATTTTCTGGTGACAAAACCCAGAAACGTCACTATCATGGACTCATGTATCTTCCTGAGGTGTGTGCTTGCTGAAATGGTGCTGAAGTAACGTCTTTAGATTTAAAAAAGCAATGCATGCTCACTTAAAAAACAAATCTAGGGTATTTGAAAATCTGTAAAATAAGGTATTTTCTTCCCTCTGTCCATCACACACCAAGAAATAACCATGTTTCTCCTTTTGCTGTATATTACTTCTGGCTTTTATTCCTGTACATAAAACATGGATTATTAGTGTTTTTATTTTAATTAGCTTGATAGTCCTTCTTCTAGAGAAAAAAAGATGGTACTAATGTACTGTTTTCCAACACCATGGCATAGACACAGGTCTGTAAATTATTATTGTAGTTTATAGTATTTTACTACCCCAATTCTGTTTTGTTCTGTCTGTATGCATCTCCTATGAAACAGCAGCTAACAAGGCAAGACCGAGGGCCAGAGGGGATGTGTATGATTTTTCTTTTTAGCTTTTGGAACAGTATGGACCAGTGCATGTTTTTTGTTAGTCCCCAGATTAGGAAATTGCGGCATCAGGAGAGTCAGCAGTTTGTCCTGGGTCCACAGTGACACTGTGCTGCAGGGCTGGGCCTTGGGCCCAGGCCTCTGTGGCTCTGAAGGGCATATACTTTCTCCTCATGCCTGTGACCAGGGGCACAGAGGGGGCAGCTTTGACCAGAAGGTGGGTTGGGCCACAGCCAGTGATGCACAAAGGAGCCTCAGCATGGTGGCATTTGAACACCGTTACCTGCCACACCATCCCCAGCTGGCACTTCCCTCCATCTCCCGTCACCAGTGAGCATGCTCCACCGCACTTCAGAGCAGCCCCGGGCCGGCAGCTGGGTGCAGGCTGCATCTGCAGTACTGGTTTGGGACCTGGTGTTGTTGGGAGGTGAGTGGCTGTCTTGTGGGAGGTGCTGGCGAGTGCAGTGTCAGCATCTGCTCCACCAGCCTTCCTGCAGCTGCAGCACTTCACCCTCCTGGGAGCCGAGAGGGTGCTGGAGCTCCCGGGTTGTCGGGAGGTTCCTTCTGTAACAGCAAGGACAGCAGCTGCCCTCTCTTAACCATGTGCTATGTAATTTACATGTATTTCTATTATGTAATCTCTTTCTTAAAAGCCCTCAGTGAGGAGATGTACTGTTGTCATAGCTGTTGTACAGGTGAAAAGCTAGGACCTAGAGGTTGAGTAACCCAGCCTAGGGCACACAGCTAGGAGGTGGGGCCAGGCCCCAGCTATATGACCCAGACCCCCCAGGTCACAGTGCCTCCCGAGGCTGCGTGAGGAGCTCATCCCCCTCATGTGGTGGGAGGTGAGCCCTTCAGGTCCCTGAAGTCCTCGCAGGAGGGGCCACAAAGGATACAGTTCTCAGTACTCTTCAACATAGGAGATATCTGGGGAAGAGGAGCCTTAGTGACTCCACTATCATGATAGACTTGGGGAAACTGAGGCCACATGGGGTCATGATTTGAGACATCAGGTCCCACCATGGACTGTCCTGACCTTCAGTAAGCTGAAAGGAGGACGGGAAGGCTGCTGTTGGCACCGAGGCGTGGAACTCAGACGAATGACATGAATCCTGAGCCGCATGCTGCACACCACAACATTGGGTGTGCTGGCATCCCAGGGACAGCCCTACTGAGGTCTCTGTGGCCAAGCCTCCTGCTGGCCCTGTGGGACCATTGTCTGCTTCCCTTTCTGACAGGAATGCGTCCATGGCTGTGTATGCCTGCTGCAGCCCTGCCCAGGAGTCCTATTTCCAGCTGCTGATGTCCACCGGCCAGGGCTCTGGCTTCCCAAACCCACAAGATGGAGCCTTCAGCCTCTCGGGCAGAGCCAAGCAGAAGCTGCTGAAGCACGGGGTGAACTTGCTGTGAGCCAGGCTGCAGTCTCAAGATCCTACCAGTGAGGGAACCTCCACCCTTGGTCATGGAAAAGGTCCCTCTTGTTTGTCTTGGAGTAGTGCCTTTTAAGGAACAAAATATTTTGAGTTTTTGTGACTTTTTGTAGGCTGGACTGTGTGTGTTTGGGGTCTGTTCTTGGGATCTGCAAATGCCATGTGCTAGGTAAAGAATTTGATCACACCAGCAGCGCTGGACCTGCATGGCAACTTGTGTCTTCATTCCAGAGAAGGTCAGGGTCAGTTTCCCTGTCACACAGGGCCTGGGCATTTGACTTTTTGTGGCTGCTGTCCATCCTTGTTTGAACAGCTGCCCAAGCATTCCAGGGCTGCACTCCGTAGAACCTGGCTGTCCCTCTCCCAGTCCTCCGCCCTGCAGGCAGGTGTGTGGGGCCTGACGCACAGTGAGGAGGTGGGCCTGTTACCAGGCTATCCCCACTGCCACTGCTCGGGGTCCTCCCAAGGGGTCCTCCGGGCAGGTCTGTGGAAGCGGGGAGGCAGATCCTCAAACTACAGCAGTGGGGCAAGTCATGATGCCAGTGCCCACGGGAACTGTGGCCACAGAGGTCATGGGTCACATCTCCAGGGGTACAGATGGAGAACTGGTCTGTGCTGCACTTGGGAAGGAGGGGTTGTGCATCTGCCTGCTGTCCTGAGGGCTCCCCAGATAGGAAATAGGAGAGCAAGACAGTGGGGTAGAGCAGGACTGTGCCCGCCAGTGGTGGCCGTGACGAAGGGAACAGCGTGCGGTCCTGTGCTTCTGGACCCGCGTGGTGCCTCCTACACGGGCCCTGCTACTTCCAGTCCTTTGTGGTAACATGATGCAGATGGCAGGCTGAATCTCCACTGAAGGTTCACTGCCAGTACCTAAGGTGCTCTTTGAAAATGGTGATGTTAATGGCTGCACGCCAGTGATCATGTCTGATGTTTATGACGCGGTCTCTTGAGACAGTCCCAAGGGCTAACAGTGAAACGGCCAAAATTCACAAGTAGCATGAATGATTGTAACTATCCCAGTGACAGAATTAAGGTGCACACTGGTGTGGGTATGCGTACACGTATGTGGCGGCAGCCCTTCGGGTCAGTGGACTGGCTCCAGAGAGCCCAAGGACACCAAAGTCTGAGGGGCTGCAGTCCTGTGGACCACATGTGGTGTTTGCAGAGGCCAACACATGCCCTCTCCTGGCTTTAAATCAACCCAGGTCGTTTGTGACACCAGACAGTGGGAGTGCTGTGGAAGTAGTTGTTGAACTGTACTGAGGTGTAATGGCAAGGAGCCGTCTGTCCGCGTCTGGAGCAGGCACATTTTTTTCCCAGATATCTTTGCTCCTTGGCTAGTGAGTGCTTAGATGCAGATTACATGGCTACAGAGGGCCCACAGCGCATTTCATCCACACTCTGTTCCTTCCGTGAGCTCAGTGTGGCTAGTTAAGGAGCCGTGAGGTACAGCCACACCCCTGTGAACACCAGCCTCTGTGTGACTGCCCCAGCGCACCAGCCCTGTGTCACCTTCTCCTTCCCCAGGGTCCATCCAGCCAAAAAATGGTCACGTTGCCAGATGGAGCAGGACTCTGCCTCAAGCTAGGACAAGTATATGTTGTCTGTTTCTCTGATCAGTCCTCCCAAGAAACAATTCCTTAAGATTTCTCTGCCAGCCTCTCAAGGGACCTTTCCATGACAGACTTGCATAGCTCACTCCATTCCTATCACTAGGGTATTTGGAAGCAGCCACGCTGATTGGTGCTCAGTCTTGAACTTGGTGCAATTACAACCTGCTTAGGTATTGAAACATAGACTTCGGAGCCCAGGGCTGTTCCCATCTGCCTCCTGGTGGGTCAGAGGATTTCTTGTGTCTGAGGACCCTTCCCCAAACAAGGTTGTGTCACAGGGATGTCTCTTGGAGGTCCCTCAGCCCTTCCCCAGAGATCTGAGCCATCAGCAAATCTTGGTCTGTTACGAAAAGCAAAACCCTCCATCTGATTTTATAGGGCTACCTTGGGCCTAAAAATGTTTTAGATACAAAATGCATTTCTTTCTAAAACTCAGTGCACAGCTTCCCTTTAAAGCCTATCCCTGAGCTGAGCCATGAGCAGATTTAGTGTATCACAAATCCCAGAAGCATGGAAGAATGTGAAGACCTTCCACACTGGGAAGGTCTTTACACTATGTCCATAGACTCTTTGGTGCTAGTTAAGCGCCTTGGTCCCCTTCCTCAACTGGGCTGTGTGTGGTGACTTGACCTAAGGTAGTGAAGACACTGTTTTCTGTCTCTTGGCTTGTCTTTGGACAAGCTGGCTGCTACATCGCCAGGATGCGTGAGCAGCGCTGCAAGCCTTGGTGGCAAGGGACTAGGGCCTCCGGCCAGCAGCCTCATAGCCTGCGAGTCCTGCAGCAGTGGTCCAGCCTCCAGATGAGATGGCTGCAGCCACATCCTGACCACCATAGCTACCACAGGAGAGCCCGAACCGGACGCCAGCCTGCGCCACTTCTGAGCATCTCAGCCCCTGGAAAGAGCAGGGTGGTAACTGCATGTGAAGCCTCTCTGGGGTGGGGTGACTTGTACAGCAGAAGGTAACTGATGCATTTGATGCTCATCTGCCACCCATGAACCCAGTGTCCACAGAGCTGTAGCAGAGGACACTTGTTAGACAGCTTCCATTGGAGCACAGTCACCTGCATCCCCCCTGTGGACAGCTGCACTAGAGCAGGAACATGGAGTCCTTCCATAGCTGCCTTCCACCAGTGCCAGGGCTTGCAGCGAATGGTCAGCTGGGTGTTTGCTTCCTCCTTCCAGGCCCTGCCCTGGCATCTCTGGTCTCTAGCATCCTAGGTGCCTTCACAGTGTGGTGCCCTCACTGGAGAACAGTCTTCCCCCAGAGTGGTCCTCAAGCCCTGCTGGTTCCCTGCTGACAGCCTCCCTTACCTACCTTGCCACCTTCTGCGGGTGGGGGCTTGATGGAAGCCTGTTGGCTCAGGTCACTCTCCGCAGTTTGAGGGAACTCATTTGTGGGGGCTAGGGGCGGGGCGGTAGTAGGTGAGAGGCCCTAGAGAGCATCATAGCCTGGTCCTGGGACCTCTGCCAGGACAAGGTGCGGGAGGGGAAGAAAGGGGCAGTCCTTCACTTCAACTGCATTGCCTGTGGTTCACCTGGAGAGTATTTGTGGAGTGCTCCTGTCCCTGAAATATCTGGTCCTTGGCACCAACTGTCCCAGAAGTGTCCCAGTGCCAGACCAGAGAGCACAGCTTTCTCATCCACTTGTGTTGTGCACTTTCTGTCACTGCCAAAATGGAAACTTCTGGATCCTGTCTCTTGTATATGAAAGACGGGTCCCTAAATCTTATCCAGTGGCAGTAAGTTACAAAAGTCCTGAAACACGTGCTGCCTTTACAGCATTGGTCCTGCCTTGCTTCCACAGCAGAGGTGCCACTTGGTCCCCTCAGAGCCCTTGGGGCCTGGCACCTGGGCCAGTATCTGCAGATCTAGATGACTGGCCTGGAGACTGCTGGGAAATGAGCAGTTGAACCCAGTTTCTTGTTCCAGTATCTGAGCCCCAGAACCGCTTTCAGGATGTGGCTTAGTCATAGTCCCAGACTCATGCCCAGCTTCCTCTTGCTGCAGGGCGCACTGCCCCCTGCAGGGGCGGTGTGGGAAGGAGGCTTGCCCTGTTGTCACAGCCGACATCCAGAGAGTGCCGCTGTAACCCAGGACCAGACTGCACAGCTGACAGCACAGTAGGGGCAGGACTCAGAGGCTCTGTTCTGGGTCAGTCCCTGCTGTGTCTGCCACCTGTGAGCAGCCAGGATCACGCTCCCAGGAGAGATGAATAGTGGCTGTCAGACTCCCACTGGGAAAGAACCTCTGATCCCTCGGGAAGCAGCCTAATCAGTGCCTCCTCTTAGGCCTCCTCTCTGGAGGGAGGCATCTAGGCATAATCTGCTCTTGTCACCTGGACAGCGGGGGCCATGGGTAGTGCGGACTGGGATCATGTTGCAGTCACCTTTGCAGGCACCTCTGGTTGGTTATCCCCGCTCCTTTCCACTGTGGCCGAGCTGTCCCTCCCACTCCACCCAGTGACCCCAAGGGGGTCAGTATAGGCACATCCTCCCTCATGGGCCTTCTTACAGCAGAGTGCAGGCTCAGGGCAGCAGGCTGAGCAGTGGTCCCCAAAGACATGAGGTGCCCAGCCCTGCACCTGGGAACGTCACCTGGTGTGAAGTCTGCAGTGTGACAGCATGATGATCTGGAGGTCGAGGATCATTCTAGGTCATCAAGCCCAGCCACTGATGGCATCCCAGTGTGTCCCCCAGAGAAGGCCATGTAAGCAGGGACACAGAGATCAAAGGGACACAAGCCCAGGAGCCCGAAGCTGCTAGATGCTGGAAAAAGCAAGGAAAAGGTTCTGTCCTGGAGGCTGCAGAGGACATGGGGAATGTAGGTCCAGTGAAGCTGCTCTTGTACTCTGAGGTCGGGAGAGATGGCTCAGTGGAATAAGCGCTTCCCTGGCAAGTGCAAGGGCCTGAGTTCAATCGGTTCTGCCAAAAAAAAAAAAAAAGTCTTGTACTCTGAGCCTCCAAAACTGTGAGAAAATGAATTTTGGTTGCTTTAAGCCACCGTTTTTAGTAGTTACAGCAGCCTCAGGAAAGTAATATACCTGCCTGCTGACTTGCTGCCTGCCCTGATACTCCAAGCTCCCTCTTCAGGAGTGCAGCATGGAGCCCCGTGGGGAGTGCTCCGGAGAGGTGAGGCCTCTTGAGGCTGAGGTCACAGAGGTGCCAGGTAAAGGGGGGACCAAGCAGCGTGGCTTGGTCTGTTCTCAGCAAGAGTCCCCAGCTTTTGCCAGATGAGAAGCCAGGGGGCAAGAGAAAGGCATTAACAGGCTGTGGCTGTCCAGGTGGAGGGCTCAGTGGCCTGGAGCTGGGCAGGTCTGGAATGAGCAATCAGGACACAGGAAGCGATGGCGCCTGGACTCGGTGAGGGTGGGAGTGGCTGGAGGGTGTGCCTGCTTGGTGACAGGCCCTGTGTGCAGGCGGGGAAGAAGCCAAGGAGATGCCTGCTCCTCAGGAGCCCATGGACCGAGCAGGAGACTGGCGGCTGACTGAAATCACAGCGGGTGTGCACTGCTGTCCAGCACAGCCATGCACGGACACCCACCCATACGTATCTCTGGCTCTGCTTTGTCCATTCTGACTGCCACACACCCCTCTCAGAGGAGATAGCAAGATTGGGGGTAAAAGCCGCATCTGTCATCCTAGCCTAGGAAAAGAGACTATCCCCAACATGTTCATTTAGTTTGGGAGCTTTAGGTGAAGGTTCTACAGGCTTCAAGGTGAAAAAAGTGTACCTTCAAATGTGCAAACTGGAACCAAACTATTGCTGCTGAGAACCCAATCCAGGCTGCTTTTGGAAGGCAGTAGAAAGCCGGAGGCTGTTTGATGACTGCCCATATGCACTTGGGTCCATACCCAGTGGCAGCTCTGCTCTGGGTGGCCGGGAGGAGTGTTCCCTGGCCTAAGGCCCAGCAGGCAGGGGGCCAGGACAAGCTGGCTGTTCAGTGGTGCTGCCTTCCTCCACCCTCCCCAGCTGGTGCCAGCCACAGCAGCAAGGCACAGGGCCTGGGTGCCAGCGCTGGGTCCATGTCCCAGCTCTGTATCTTCTTGCCATGGAAACTGGAGCAGGCGCTTTAATTCTCTCAGACCCTCAGTGGCCTCTTTTTTTATTTATTTTTTTAATGTATTTAGGACAGGGTCTACAGAGTCTCACTACTAGATTGGACTCGTAGTGATTCTCCTTTTTTTCAGCCTCCCGAGTGCTGACATTACAGGCACACACCACCACGCCCAGCCTCTATTGCTGTCTCAGTGCACCCTGGGGGCAGGGCTGGCATGGCACGCTGGGGATCGAACCCTGGCCACTTTGCTCTGCCTAAGCAGATGCTTTAGTCCACTGAGATATTTGGCCTGCCCATTCAGTGGCCTCTTTAAGGCAGAGGGGAGAAAGTGATGTATGTAAGTGTGGGCCTCTTGTGAGTGCTCAGGAAAAGGGGTTTCAGGCATGTGTGAAGAAGGCAGTCAGCTTCCCTGGGGTCCCTCTGTACTCTGGGATGAAGCTGAAGAGTGTCTAGACCTGGACAGACACAGTTGTCCCGGGTGTCTGCAGGGACAGATACCCCATGGATACTAAAATCCAAGGCTGCTCAAGTCTTTTATGGTGCAGTATTTGTATATAACCTGCATAATCCTCCCATAGACTTTAAATTCTTTCTAGATTATTTACCTCTTACAATGTAAATGCTATGGAAATAGTTGTTCTAGTGTACTGTTCAGGGAATTATATAAGAAAAATCTGTACATGTTCAGTTCAGATAAATTTTCTTTCCAAGTATTTTTGATCTGAGGCTGGTTGAATCTGTGGCGGTGGAAGCCATGGGTAAGGAGGGCCAGTTGCACTGAGCAGCAAGCTTGCGTGCCTGGCTCCCCATTCCAGCTCCCTCCGGCTGGCTGCACGGCCTTGCTTGCCCCAAGAGCTTCTGAGCCAGGTTCTGTCCTGTGTTGACGCATGATGGTCCCTGGGTGCTGAGTGGGATGGCGAGTGGAAAAGACCCCTCACAGGCTGCCCAGCGTCCTCTGTGCTTGAGCGAAGCACAGGCTGTGAGCTGGGGCTGGCTCACCCTTGGACCTGGCTGGCGGGCGAGGGTGGGGAAGCAGAAGTTAGGACCGAGTGTACACCCAGGAAGGAGGTGGGAAGGAGTCCAGTCCCTGTGTGTGGCCTCCTGCCACCTAATGCTACAATCTGCTTGAGTGTTTTCACTGCCATCTGTCAGAAGCTCTAAAATATGTGGCCTTATTCTGTCCTGTTCTCTTTGTTTACATCTGGTTAGTGAGAGCTGTTACGGGAGGCTGCTGGCAGTGGGCAAGCTAATCCTTCAAAGCAGCGTTTCTGGCCAGCCATCATGGCACACACCTGTAATTCTGGCTAATGCACGAGACCGAGCAAGAGGATCACGAGATCAAGGCTAGCCTGGGCAACTCAGCAAGACCCTGTCTCCACATAAAAGATGCTGGATGTAGCTTAATAGTAGAGCACTTGCCCTGGGTTCAATTACCAGGACCACAGAACAAAATAACAAAAATCCCAATGGCGTTCTGTCCTTAGCTTTTGCTACTCCTGTTTACTTCAAAAAATACATGTGGGTGCCTCCTGTTCTCCCAGAACTTGACAAGGTATTATCTAATTATCCAAACCTCACTTTATGCTTATGAAAGCAGGCATAAGCCAGTCCATTTTATGGCTGGAACTCAGAACGGATTAGGACTTTCTGGTGAAAAAGAATAGAAATCAGAGTTCAAACATGGCTTAAGAATAAAAAAAGGAGTTCACCAGCTCATGAAATTGCAAAGTCCAAAGGTCAGCTGACTCAGGATCCAGATGACCTGCACAGGGTGGTCCTGGGCACCACTGCAGGGCTCACTCTCAGGTCTTCCCACTAGATCTCCAGTGCCACCCTCAGAAAAGCTGCATCTTCTCAACAGTGCCAGGCAGAGCACTTGGACCATGTGCCCAGGCCTGACCTGAAGTGGGGCCAGGAGCTTGGGAGGCCTGGAGCTGGGCTGGGTCAGGCCCTAAAAACCCAAGCCCGAGCACAGGGCTGATGCAGTCTTGCAGGAAGCTTGTCAGGGTCTGGTTGGCAGGAAGGGTTAAACACAGTGCCGGTCCCCTGGAGGCCAGACTTGGGGCTGGCCCAGCATCCCACTGCAACACAGCCGTGGCCTGACTTTCCAGCTGGCCACCTCTGGGCCCTTACTGTCCTTGCTACACAAGAGTGGCCACTGTCAACCCCAGCTACACACTAGAACAACAGGAATTAAGTTACAGAAAATACCCTTGCCTGGGCCCCAGTGCTACAACAGAGAGGGAAGACGCTTTGGCGGCAGGGACTGGGCATCAGTATTTCCCAAGTGCTCCCTGTCCAGGAGCATTGGATGTGCTGTAGGGCACTCAGTGTTACACATTGGCCACTGTCACCAAAGGCAATCCAGACAGGGTGTGACTTGGGGCTAACAAGTGGGTGCCCGAAGGAAAGGTTTAGGGCCAGGAGAATGGGGCATAACTGTGTGCAAATCAAGTAGTGGGCTGGCCATGACTGCAAGGGCACAAGCGGTACTTGACAGGCACTGGGGCTGCCTTGGGCTGGAAAACAGCGGTTTGCATTTGCAGCTGGACAGCCTGCTTGCTCCCCTTTCTCACCTTTCCATCCCATCCCTCGCCACAACATGTAAATTACGTTAGCAACCGCCTGGTTGGCAATGCACACAGTGGCAGGGTGAGAAAGATCTTGGCCTCAAGTGAGAGGTGCTCTTTTCTTGCACCTGTGTCAGCCCTGCTGGGTTGATAGAGGGACTATGTGTGCAAAACTGCCAGGAGCCAGGCTGCTGCTGTGGGGGCTCCTGGCCACCAGCATGGCTTCAATCCCTCTTCTAAGACAAAGGGGAAAAACGAACCACACTTCATGCACCTGTGTTTCTGTCTCCTGTGTCTCTGTGGTGATGGACAGGGAGCTACCACTGCCATTCTGTGCCCCTGTGTGCCGTGCTCTGTCTCTGCAGAGAAGGAAACAGGCTCAAGAAGGTCAGGGACTTGCTCAAGGTGACAAGAGAGTGAACTGCCATCCTCAAATCCTTAGCAGTCCTGAGCCCAAGTCCTATTTTTTGCCTGCTCGTTATCTGTAGCTCCTTAGTTCAGAGATGAACCCCAGTCCCCGGCTGCAAGCACAGTATTTTAGAAGCACACTTGACCTCATTCAGTACCTGCCATCCCTTGCAGTGGCCCATCTGTCTCTGTGACAGGAGGCACTGACCAACAGCCACACACCCACAGGCCCCATCTTCTTTCTGACAGATGACTGTACTACATCACTCTGGTTTTCAGCAAGATCCTTTATTTATCTTCTGCTCCCCAGTCACGCCACTGAGTGTGGCAGCCAGGTCCCAAGGGGCTGGGGAAAACAGGGTGTTGGCTTTGTAAACCCGGAGCAGAACGATCACTGTGTGTAGACGTCATGCACCTGAGAGGTTCTGTTCACAAGAGACTTAATGAGCACAAAGACTTCAGGTGTGTTGGAACTGCCTGCCATTTTTTGCCTTCTGGTTACCAGAACATATCCACGTGGACATTTTAAACCTCAAGCAGATGTGCTCTTTCTGCACAGGCCAATAACTACCTGGTATATTTTGGATGGTGTTTCTTTCTGACAGCCGCCCCTCCCAGCAGATGCAGGTTTGTATGCAGGTAGAAACAGCAGCCTGGTGCATGTGATAGCCCTAAGCTCTGTCTGTTCCTAGGCTCATTACAGCTGAGGCTGGACACTGTTCCAAAAGGCATCATTCATGTGGCTGGGAGATGGCACTCACATCAGTAAATAAGAGGTGGCTTCCTCAACTTCCTTTGGGATAAGATCTGTGTCCTTCATAGGAGACCAAAAAGCCAGCACAGGGACCACAGCTCCCTGCACATCCTGGCCTGGGTTATTATCACCAAGCCCACACTCTTGCACAATGAAAAACACTCAGGCCTGGCCCTTCCACTGTCTCCAAGTCTAGGATTTGAGCACTGACCTATGCAAGGTAAGTGAAAATCAGGCAACAGAACCACAGATCAAGTCAGATGCAATGGCCAGACTCAGGACTCTACTTTGCTAGGGAAAGGAGTTTCTGGAATGTCACCGGACAGCCACTAGGCCCTATCCTTGCACAGCCTCCACCAGCCCGCCTAACATCTGCCACTGTGAATTTAAAGCAGCTACAGCGGCAGGCAGCAAGGCCTGGTGTGGCAGTGGGCTCTGTAGGCAGTGAGTGAATGGATCCCATTCGGTGGCTGGCTTGGGGAGCCCAGCCTGACTCCTGACTCACGGGCCTCAGCTCGGCTGGAAAGTACACTGACAGGTCTGCTGGTCACTCCTGCCTGGCTACTTGCCAGCTAGGACCTGGCAGTCTGGAGCAGAACAGCGACCGTGACGGTCTCCCCAGGCCCTGACCGCAGACACCAGCACACTGGCCGGGCACACGGATGAGGGTTGCTCCTGCCCAGGGTAGCGAAGGCCTCCTGTACGCCAGCAGCAGAAGTAAAGTTCTCTGGCCTTCCGGCTTGTGTTTTTTTTTCTTGAAGATGACCACAAGTTTTACATGATGACATTCAGACAGCGAACTGTTTGGCTACTCTGTTTGACAACACTGAAAAAAACCAAGTAGCAATGGAACAAGACCGACGGGGCACCAAGTCTCTGCTCACAGAGTCAAAGGGACACACTGGTAGGCCAGAAAGGAATCTCCAGAGCTAATCATTGGAAGGAAAAAACAAATCAAAGGAAATACAAGCTGAAAGTTTTCCATTTACAGTAACCAAAAGAGAGGAATCCCACAATGCAGGAGATCCCAAGGAGAGGGTCTCACTGAGACAGGCTTCCGAGCGTGGAATCTGAGCTCGGGCGTGGCTGGACTATCCCTTGGCCACCTGGGCTCCTTGCCCCTCGCCAGCTCCTACATAGATAGTTTGTTCATCGTCCTGGGGCAAAGATGAAATCCAGGGCCTGCCGCTCGGCAGCTGCAACGTTGGGATGCCACAGATCCACCATGAAGACCACCCGTGGGCCATCCTCCACCACACCTGCAGGGGAGAGGACAGGTTCAGTCCACCAAGGCCAAGACCCCGGCACAGGGACCTGACAGGAACATCAGTAGACCTCCCACCCTGAATGGGAACACTCATATGGCTTCATGAGGTTCTGAGCAAGTGGGGGAAAGGAACAGGAGAGGGAGGGAGGGGTGGCTGGCTGGGGTGCAGAGGATTTTTCAGCAGTGTTATGGCTTAAATATGAATGTCCCCCCATAAGGCTCTTGTGTGCCCAGGTGTGGCTTCCTGAAGCTATTATCAGGGGATTGATGCACGTGTGAGTTTTCAGCTGATTACGCTCTGAAGAGGACCTGGTGGAGGAAGCAGGTCACCGGGGCCTGACCGGGAAGGCTGTGTGACTGCTTCCAGCCCCTCGCTCCCCCAGGCTGTTCCCTACTCTCTGCTTCCCAGGTGCCTTGAGGCGGCTCTGCTTGGCCACACCCTTCTACCCTGTGCTTCCTGCCTGGGAGCCAGCTGGCTGTGGACACATTGAATCATTTGAAACCAGGAGCCAAAGCCAAACTCTCAGGTATTTTGTTTCAGCAACAGAAAGGCGACTGATACAGCAGGGAGGCTACTCGGCAAGGCACAGTCAGGTGGACACGTGTCCTGATGTACTTTTTCCAACTCACTGAACAGCACCAAGCATGAACCCTAGTGGGCACCTCAAGTGCGTCAACACTCACCCACCACTTACAGTATTAGGATCACTACTACAGACTGGGAAGTTATGTGTGTGTTCGTGTGTGTGTCAGGGAAAGAGTGACGGGAAGGCACATACTTGGCCCTTTCTGCTCAGGCTTTTCTAGAAATCTAAAATCTCTCTTAAAAACACAGTTTACTAATTTAAAAAGCAAGCAAGCAAGGAGGGAGGCTGGTGCCCACCTCCGTGGGACGCAGTATGCAGAAAAGAGTCATCGAAGAGGAGGCAGCGGCCTTCTGCCCAGCACTGGGGCTCACCCCCTACCACCAGCTCACAGCCACTTGGAGTTTTCAGACCTAGTGGAAGAACAGAAAAGAGAGTAAGGCAGGTGGGGCGCAGGCAGGAAGAAGGCGGAGGCTGGTTGTGTTGGGGAGGCTTTCCACAGCCCCGGCCTCCTGCTCACCCCTAGAGAGCCCGTGCTAGGCTTTGAACATCTGTGCCTCTACAATTGCTATGTGAAATCCCAAGCACAGGACAGCAGTGTTAGGAGGCAGGGCTTTTGGAGGAGATGACATCTTGAGTCAGGTACCCTTAAGAATGGGACGAGTGGCCTTCTAAAAGGGTGCAAGGGAATGTGCCCCATCAGGATATAGCAAGAAGGTACCATTTATGAATCAGATGTGGGACCTCAGTCTCCCCAGATGCCCAATTTTCCAGCACTTGGACCATGGCTTTCTGGACCCAGAATAATGAGAAATCCGTCTCTGGCTTACAAGGCCCCTTCTGTCCAAGCAGCTCACATGGATGAGCACAGCCTATCTGGGGGTGAGGGAGTCTGGTAAGGCGAAAGCAGGCTGAGCACCACAGTCCTTACTGGGCAAAGCCTCTGATTCCATGGGCTGCATCATCCTGGGTTCTGGTATCTTTGATTAAAGCCACATCCTGAAGCTCATACTCCTTCTTAAGACTCCTGGATCCCAGGATATCAGGGCAGCTAGGCTCAAAGTTGGCTTGTCCAATAACTGCTTATCCATGGCTGCGTTTACTTGTGTTGCAATTAAAGACACAGGCTCACATGGAGCTCAGCTCTCGCAGTTCCACCTTTAAATGCATCTGGAGGCCCGAGGATGACAACTCGTCCTGTCATCTCCTTGGTTCCACTGTACAGACACCCCCCGGAGCACCTGAGCAGACTGCCCTTTGGACTGTGGCCCTCACGTGCTGTGTGACTCTGGGCAAGTTTCTACTGTCATCTGTAAAGAGGCCACATTAGTCTATTTAATTCCAAGGCTGCTTATGTGACGTTTATCCTTGTTACCACTAACTGAAGGCTTGCACGGGTTTGTGCTAAATGAACTTTTCAAACATCATTTCATTATTCCAGACAGAGTAGCTGGGCAGTGTATGAAATCCTCTAAGTTACCAGTCAGTCTTCGCTGACAGTGCATCTGGTTCCAAACAGCCTCTTGTAAAGGTGGGCACTGGGATATACCTGCTAGCTACAGGTTGCTGGTAGTGAACAGACGGCTGAAGGTTGTACAGAGTTAGCATGTCTAACTCTCAACAGCTCATCTCACTAGAGAGCTGAGACTATCCATCTGCCCCTGAGCTGTCATTTCTGTTTCTGTTATGGGCAGCTGGGGGTTAGGGATGAAGGCACTCGGCTTGCCAGCCAAATTTGCTGTGTGTGCCCTTGCCGGCTGGCACAGACAGAGAAAGCCTTTAGGGCAAAAGACTGCTGTGCAGGGACAATCTAGTGCAGGGGTCTCAGAAAGAGCCTACCTTTCCTCTGGGCTGCTACATGACTCACTGTTATGTGCCGTGGTGCAAGAGAGAAACGGCCTGACTTGCTGGACTCCCTGCTGGCTTCTTGTCTTCCTCTTCCACCCACATTCTGCTCCAGCCTGCTGATGGTCCATCACTGCGAAGGCCCCGCAACCAGCTCAGCTGGCAGAAATGAGCAAGGCTTCCCCAAACAGAGTATCTGGGGGTTCTGAGATAGAGACAAGCCCTGCATGCAGTCTTGGAGAGCCCCATAATGGCCAGGCTCCTCTACGGCCAACAGCTTGCTGCCTTCATCCCACCAACCCCTGAATGATGCAGGAAAATGGTGGAGAACAGGCTTTGTCCTCCAAGGTCCCCTACTGCAGGAGGCGAGAGCCGACACATGGGAAGGGCAGGTACATTCGAGATGATCCTGGCTCCACCATCGCCCGCTGCCTAGAAACCTGACATCTACAGAAAAGACAAACGGGTGCCTGATTGTGTTTGTGGAACTGAAATTTGCTAAGCACATGAATGCATATTCATGTGGCGTCTGTCTCCCCAGTGACAGCTGCCTGGAGAGCTCTAGGTCTCAGAGGTGGCTACGGGGAGTCTGTGGCAATGCGGGGGGCACATCCCAGCCCCATGTACCCTGCCTGGGGATGGCTGGGCCAGGAGCTGTCCTGTAGTTGTACAAGGAGTGGGGACAACTCCCGTAAGGCAGCTCACAGCAGGGCTCAGCAGATGAGGACCAAATCAACCGATGTGGAAAGTAGGGAGCGAAGGCAGGGGGCTTCCATGGTCTTCAGGCAAGTCTATCAATTACTGTACAATCCAGCAAGAAGCAGAACGGGGAGATGGGTGTTGGCATCTCAAGAACACAGCTCTGGGACTTTGCTTTCAGCTGGGTCCATCTCAGACTGCATCTGCCTCTGAGCTCCTCTTACCTCTTTCTATGTCGACATACGAGGTCACAGGAACCTAACACCTTCACTTTCCTCCCGGGTGTGTTGTGACAAGTGTTTAATCATGTAAAGCAGGAAACTCTGAGAAAGCCTGACCTCCAAGCTGGCCCTGGCCACGCAGCAGCCACGCCCCAGTGGGATGGCTTCCAGCAAGGATCTGGCTGAGTAGGGAACGCGCAGCGCATGCTGGGTTTGGCAGTTAACTAGCTGGGCCAAGGGAATGACGCTGCGATGAGGGCCCCTGTGGGTGTGTTTACACACACACACACACACACACACACACACACATTGTACAGATGCATAAGGCACATTAACACACAGGCAATAAAGCCTCGATTTTCTCCCTCTGGAAGTCTGTCCCACTGGTCCTCAAATGCCTTTCCCTCTCCATCCTTCTGGAAGCTTTTATAAAATCATAGGGGCTGGTAATACAACTCAGTGGCATAATGCTTGTCCAGCATGCATGAGGCCCTGGATTTCATCCCCAGCACCACAGAAAACAAAAACAAAGAAACATGAAACCTTTGAAATGAAAAGTATCACTCCCATTGCCAAGACTCCTGCCCAGTACTGAGGCTCTGTACTCCCCACACCGTCCAACTCATACCACAGCAGCAAAACCCAGACACAGCTGCCACAAGACCCAAGAGAAGGCCTGGCTGCCCCACACCCTGACCTGCAGGGTCAGCCCCGCTGCCCAGACGGCCCCATCTGTAGCCCGGAGTGAGCCTGCTGCTCGGGGTGGGACCTGGTGCCCCGCGCAGGGGTTTACTGACTATGGTCATCATTCAGATTCACACCCGGCCTCTCAGCTGAGCTGACCATGCCCTCCCTGCCTGCAGGCCATCCTGCCCCTTCACACCTAATACTTGTGCTCCTCACAACAGCCCCCAAATCGGTCCGATTCCGTCCAGTTTAGAGAAGTCAGAGGCACCATGTCTGAGCTTCACAGAGCAGGCAAGCTGCGCGGGGCCCTCATTCGGGCCTGGTGCCTTCCCACGCCTGCTCACCCCCTCACTTTCCTGAGGGCACAGACCATGTCACACAGATCATCTTTATGCTCTTTACTGCGTGGCGTCACATGTCAGGCACTGTGCAAGTGGCTGCTGAAGACACGACTTCTCTCACCCTCTGGGCAGCTCCATTTTGCAACCCACACACCAGGGCCAGGGACCTCAGCCACCCGCCTAGGCTCACTAGATCCATGAATCTGGACTGCCACTGCCCCTCTGCCCACCCTGCACTGACTCGGAATGTCCACCACAGTGATGGCCCTCATTTACTTATTTCTTCCTCTTTCTAAGGAGTACAGTTCTCTGTGTAAACCACATTCTACTCAGAATCTATACCTGGAGTGCAGAAGAGAGTAGGGGATGAAGAGCCCCTGTGGGTAAAGAAGGGGCGCAAGACTGCTCCCCAGCAGCTCTGAGGCTCTGTGCAGAACACTGAAGAAGGTGCCATGGTGGCACACACCTGTAATCCCTGCTACTCAGGATTACAGGAGGCTGCAAGTTAAGGGCATCCTGGGAAATTCAGTGAGAAAAGAGCTGGGGGTGTGGCCCAGTTGTGCAGCTCTGCAGAACAACCCCCCAAATAGGTCTCACTTCCTCTGGCTTAGGGAGAAAAAGAAGGGGTGCCAAGTCTTAGGCCCCAGTGTACTCCTGTACCAAGGACCTGGGTTCTAACTCCAGACTGACAACAGAGGACACACTGATGGACTGCAGCCCACACAGGGACCCTCTTGCTGTCCCCTTTGCCCAACCCAAAGGAAGTGCTGGAGCTTCTTAAGGCTGGGAGCTGTGCCTCCCGCTGCACACTCTGCTCTGGGCCACTCACCAGCAGGGAGGCATCACCCTTCCGCCTCCATTCCCTGGCATGAAGCAGCACAGGCACCGGAGGCCTAACTGCCCTACTGCCAGAGCTGTTGGGACCCAGCCCGCCCTACTGAGGGCTGGCCCTCTGTCAACCAGGCTCTATGTGGTCACTTTCAACACACACTTTCTGACTGGATTCTCAGGCTAACTCTGAGTAGAAGACTGACAGATCTAGCTGGTGGTAGGGCCAGGGTGCAAGTAAAGGAGGCATTGTGTGCAAAACCTCTGCTACCCATGCACAATACATACGCTACCAATATTGCCAGAATCTGAATAAAATGCCCTCAACACCAAGTAGCAGGTCCCCCTTGGTGATTAAGAGGTACTAAGCACCTTTCATACCATCCTGGATGTCACCAGGGCCTTTGGCTCTAATGCCATATGTGACCATCATAATTTAAGGCAAAACTTCAGTTCCTCAGTTGTGCTGGCCATACTTTGTGTATCCTTTTTTGTCCTCCAGCACTGGGGATCCAGGGCCTCACGTGTGCTAGGCAAGCATTCTTCCCCAAATCTGTCTGTAGCCCCACACTGATCATGTTCCAAGCACCAAATGGTCACCTAAGGCCAGTGGGTGCTACGTTGGATGTCTGGTAAAGGCAGAGAACATTTTCATCATCACAGGAATTCTTTTTACAGAGCCTCTATCAGGGATTAGGTGCAGGGCTGGGATGTGGCTTGCTGGTAGAGCACATGCTTAGCGTACATGAGGTCCTGGGCTTCAGCACCAGCACTGCCAAAAACAGACAGCGTCTGACGTGCTGTGCACCTCCACATCTGTAACTCATGCACTCTGGGAATCTGAGGCAGGAAGAGCTTATGTCTGAGCTCATCCCGGGCAACTTGTTTGCCATGATCATATTTCAAAATAAAAAAGGGCTGGGGATGTAGCTCAGTGTGAAGGCCCCGGGTTCAATCCTAGTGCTGAAAAAAAAATTAGGCTTGTCTAACCTCAGGTTTCACTGGGGACTCACTTTTTGGTATCAAAATTGTTTATATAGGATTATTAATTTTTAATAAAAGCACACACTCTCTGAGCTGCACAATGCTCACATCCCCTTGGTCACAAGGGGCTGTGATGTGAACATCCAGCCAAGGAACGCTGTTCCTGCAACTTACCCAAGTGGCACCGGATGCGGATGTTTGTGGGCCCATAGTGCTCAGTTATCACAGTCCCGGGGCTCAGCACAGAGATGCACGCATTCCCAAAAACATTGTTCCCAATACAGGTCCGAAGGCTTCCCAGCAAGCGGTACGTCCGTGGGCACTTCCTGCAGTTCCTGGGGACACAGACACCCTGATTGACCAAGTAAAAGGTGAACCACTCCCCGCTGGGGGTGCTGTTCATTTTCCAGCCCTGTGGGAGGCTGCAGTTTGAGAAAGCTTTGTAGAGAGTCTCAAATTCACACAGGATGGTCTGGAAGTTCCGCTCCAGCACCTCCACGTCGTGTTTCTGCGCATCCCGAGGGAAGTATGGAGTGGTGGGGAGGTCAGGCAGGAAGAAGACCTCGGGCTTCTGGATGGAAGGCCGGCTGTTGAGGTAGCGGCCCTGCTCGCGGATGCCCTTGTGGATACGGCCCATGCCAGACCACGAGTAGCGCTTGGCATACTCTTGCAGGTTGTGGTAGAGTTTCTGGTTGAGGCCCTCGCTGTGCGTACAGCGCATACACTCAGGGGACTGGCAGTACACATACCCGTTCTGCAACCCATTGGCATCTGCGCCCTGCATGAGTGAGTTCACAGAGACAAAGGGCCGTGGCTGCTCTCTGCCCACGTGGTAGCAGTACCACACAAACAAGACCAGTAGGCAGGCCACAGTGACCACGGCGCTAGTGTCACAATCCCGCACAGACTGGATGCCGCTGGCGATGCAGTCTCTCAAGCCATCCAGGGACCAGCTCCAGGCCACTAGCCACTCGAGTGACATCTTGGTGGGCTTGTTACTGAGGGTAGGCAGCCAGGTCAGATAGTCAGTCCTCTGGGGTTCCACAGATCTCCATACCATGCAGGCTAGTGCAGGGGTCAAGGGGTGGCCAGAGCAGGGGGAGGCATGGCTGCCACTGCTCTTTGTGTCCTGCCACAGGTGCCATGGATGGAGGAGGAGGAGGAGGAGGAGGCCTGCCACCACTCTACTCTGCAAAAGTCTCTATGGTTGGGGGGAAGGAGCTGGCTGATGCCTCATTTGCAAGTAGGCTTGGTCACTGTGAAAGGACACTTTGGAAGTCCAAGCCTGGAAAAAAGAAGACACAGCACAAACTTTATACCTCAGAACACTCTTGACAGACACACAAGGTCTCCGATCATTGCAGAAGGCTCTTGGTGTGGGACACCCTTTGCAGTCTTGTGGACTCCTTAATTTTATCACTCTCCTGCTTTGAAGCGGTCAGCAGTGTGTTCCTACGTTAGGACTCTTGGCTCACTCGAGCAGCCTCACCTACACAGTACCATCCACAGGAAGTGCTATCATCCCCATTTTCCAGATGAGAAAAATGAGGCTGAGAGGCCATAGAATGCACGTAGGTCATGCAGTCATGGACAACAACTTCACCTGTCTTCAAATTCTGTATTTATGTATTTTGCTGTACTATGTTACATTTGTTCTCCTTTAGTTACTATAGCTTTTATCAAGGCGAAAGCTGGATTCAAGAACATCTTAAAAATGACAAAGAGCCTTTAAAACTACATGTTCTTCACTTTATTTTTCTATTTTCAAGCACCTCATTCTTATCTAATCTGGCTTGCCTCTAACAAGAGTTAAGCCAATACTAAGCTAGAACAGGAAGTGGGTACTCTGGGGTCAAAAACATAGTGGACAAAGGGCTTTCTTTGCCTGTCACCCTGGAGACTGCTGCTGGCTTCCTCCATAGGGCCAAAGAGTAAAATAATGGGTGGGTCTGAAGGAGAGGCCCATCCTGGCTTGAATCAGTTTCCCACATGTAGAAGTCCTTTGGTCTGTCATTTTGCCACTGATCAGGGCCAGTATCTCTCACCTCAATTACCCTCATAAGGTAGGTCAGAGCCCAGTGGTCATGGCCTAGAACCCCAGCCGTGTTTCCCAGCATCTCTGAAACTCACTGTCCATCTTGCTTGCCCCAACCCGGTGGAAAGGGCCAGTCCCATGTGCCACTGAGTCTGTACCTTTGATCTCGTCTACAGGGGCACAGTTGTGAACCTTCACTTTGTATTCTCCTTTCTCGTTTGTTAAGAATAAGGACAACTAAGCAAATGGGAAAATTGTACCCTCCCCTTTCCCAGGCAAAAATTCTGCCTGGCATTGCTGGTAGCACAGCAGGAAAGTCCTGAGTCCAAACTGAAGGTGGCTGGATAAGGGAGTAACACTAGCCACAGGCAGATCACCTCCTTTCTCTAAATCTCAGTTCTTTATCTGTTGAACAGAGTTAACATCCATCTCAATGGCTGCTGCTGAAAGCTGAAGGCAGAAAAGTACTCAGGGTCATGCCGAGTGAGTACCCAGGGTGTTCTGGCCACTGTGAGAACCAGCGGCATTCCACCATAGCCAGCAAACTGAAGCGGGCGGGGAAAGGAGGGTATCTCAAGACAGGGATCCCAACAGCTCAGGATAAGTCCTGAACAGTCTCAATGCCACACATTTCAAGTGACTTTTCTGTCTCCAGACTTGCTAAAAACAAAAGGGAAATCTTTGGTGTTCATTAACTGCCTACTGGCTTTTCCCCAGTTTTGGTTGAATAAAGAATCACTTGACTATAATGTTTAGTAAGTCAAAAAAACACACATGCTGAATATTCATGGGGATTTTTGTTTCTAGGAAGAACACCGTAGCGAGGAGGTTAGAAGCTGCGGTTCCCCCCACATGTTCTCAATTTCTTCTCAAATGCACAAGAAACAGCGGCCGGGCCCTGCCAGGTATTAAATGACTCTCTCTTCCTGCTGTGTGCTCCTACTTTTATTATAAACTGGCAGCTTTTTTCCTCTTTAGGAAAAGGGAGGAAAATCCAGATGAAAGGTGTGTTGTCTAGCACCATCTTCCAAAACAGAACCCAGGATTCCTGAAATTCAGTGTGAAAGTCTCATCAGCGCGATAACAAGCACTTTTAGGAAAGGAATTTCCCCACCACTGAGCTAAGCCCTGAAGTAGAACTCAAATTCTGTCTCTCAGGAGCAAGATTTTTTTTTTCTTAGATATTCTAAGAGTAAGACAATGGCAATCTTACAAGCACCTGTTAGGTGTTAGTTCCCATCGGCCTTGCTAATCACTCAAGTTCATCAAAATGCAGACAAAACCAGGCCGATGACAAGGGAACTTCTCCAGCCCTTGCTTCCCTCCTTCTCGGGGAGGATCATTCTGTGCAAAGCCTGCCATGAGCTCACCTAAAGGCTAGGCCTAAAGGAATGACGGTTCAAGATCCTGGCGCCCTGAACCCAGCTTCAGACCCTCCTCCAAAGAATAAGAACAGCACTGAGAGCTCACGCTCAGACTTTTCCTACCACCCAAAGGCAAAGTGGCCAGCAACCCCCTGGCCCCTGAGGTGCAGTTACAAGTTCACAGCTGATCTATGGCAATAAAAGAAACCCTTAGGTTGGTAGTGACTGCATATTTGTTAAGCACAGATTCAAACAACTCTCCAACACTCCCAGTGATGACCTACCCCATCCCCAGTGGGGTGGGGATGGACTTAACAACCACCCCCCTACCAAGTGCTTTATCTTAGGGGCTGCAGTAACTTGTAGCTTTCTTTGCATGTCTGCTCATTTTTATGTTTTGATTCTATCCCCATCAGGGATAGGGACATCTTGCTGTGCTGTGCTTTAATAACATGGAAACTCAGATCTTAAAGGTCAGTCGGCTCTGGGGAGAAAAAGTCCGAATTCAAGTTCAACCCAATGTAACTTCTGATTCCATGAATGCCTGGGGAGACAGCCTCAATGTGACCCAGTTAACACAGTTCAGATGACCAGCCCAGGGGCCTGTCCAGTGCTAAAGAGCTCTGGTCACCCCTCCGGGTGAAGCCAAGCCTCTGTGGATGCAGCCCCACCCCCTGCAAGGGGCAGGCCACCCTCGCTGCTCAGAAGTCACAGAGCTGCCCAGGGGCCAGCCAGCCTTTTCCCATAGGGATCACCTTCCTCACTCCAGGCCAGAGATCTCAGCACCCACCCCCTGGACTGGAAAGAGGAGGGGAGGGTAGAGGGTAGAAGATGGGTCTACGCAGATGTAGATGGTGACTACCATGAAGCCAGGGGGTGAGGGGGATTAGGAATGGAAGGTGAGTGTTGGCAGGAAAAGTGGGCAACCAGGTAAGGATGAGGGAAGGTGTATGGCATGTGATAACTCGTGGGACGGGAGGTGGGTCACCAATGGGAAATATGGAAAGTGGGTGATGCTGAAGGCCAGGGGAGGGGAGGGGAGAAGAGGAGAGCATGAGGGCTCCAGGGGAAGAGGTCCCGTGGGGGAGGGGATTGGAGGAGGAAAGGATGGAGGCGGAGGAGAGGAAGCGAGGAGGAGGAAGACGACGACGACGACGACGACGAGGAGGGTGATGATGCCCGACCCGGCCGTGAAAGTCCCTGGCGAGGGCGCTCGGCACGTAACGGGCGCTAGACCACAGCCCCTCGCCGGGTCGGGATGCGGGCGCAGGCGTCCAGAGCATCCTCCGCGGCCGCGGGCCGCAACCGCCCGGCCCCCGCTCAGCCCCGTCCCTCCCGCCCGCCCGCCTGGCAGCCCGAGGAGACGCCGCTCACCTGCGCCTGGGCGCGCAGGCGACTGTGGGGACCAGGACGACGACACCGCCCAGGGCGCGGACGCCCCCTGCCCGAACTGCAGAGCCACTGCCTGGCCACCTCCTGGCTCGCGCCACTGCTGCTGGACCGAACCGAGCCGCGCGGAACCGGTGCCCGCCGGTGCCGACGCCGCGCTGCGCTCTCCGGGGCCGCGGGGACCACAACTCCCACAATGCCGCGCGCGGGCCCGGCGGGGGCGGGGCG